CTGTTTATTTAAAAGGTTAATCAGTGAAGGCTATAACCTAGACCTGAAACTAGAAAGCTACCAAGGAATGAGTCAGAGGAGTGAACTACTTTACTTTGTAAAACCAACAGTCACTTTTTGACTGCTGGTTTGAGATCACCCTTGATTGGATGCTACCTACATGTATTGTAGGATAAGTACTCAGAAGAATTTAAATTAATATAATATAAAATAATGTTTAGTAAGATTCATGCCTCTAGCAGCTGAAGATAAAAAAAACTCATTTTAAAGCTTTGCTGAGACTGGTTCCTCACTCCCTTTTTTCCATTCTGTCTTGCACATCCTGATGCCAGTTAGCAAGGCCTGGTACACACAGTACAGCAAACTCCCTTGTTCTGTATAGTAAATGCAAGGAGGCGTTTGGTATTTGGTATATTGCCATTTCATGGCATTTGGTCTTTTCATTTTATGATGGCATTTCATATGCAATTAAAACCTTTTCTCCTTTATATGTAGGAATAGTCTTTATATGTAGGAATAGTAGACAATAATCTTCATACATGTTATTTTAAAGAGTGCAGCTCTACTTGTTTAGGTTGGTATGAACTTTATTAGTCACAGGATCTGTAGATAAGAGTTTTTCTAGATGGCTCACAATGAAATTCTGTAAATACAGTATCACCATGAGGAATTTCTTTTATATTAAACCAAGGAAGCAATTTACGTATTTGGATTAGGTCAGAGAATGGGTAAGGTTGGAGGGGACTGCATGGGCCATCCAGTCCAACTCCCCTGTTCAAACAGGGTCATCCTGGAGCACATGGCACAGGATTGCATCCAGCTGGTTCTGGAATATCTCCAGTGAGGGAAATTCTACAATCACTCTGGGCAATCTGTTCTGGTGCTCAGTCACCAGCTGATCATCCTCCTTGTATTTAAATAAAATCAAAAAGAATGACCAAGTCTGAAGACTCCCAAACCCTTGGTGTGCTAGTTTTCAATCTGTACTATGGAAATTATGCAACAGTTCTATTTGTCTTTGAAGATTCATTGAACTCTGTAAGAGTTAAATATCATCTTTCCTGAGCACTGTAACATGTAGAAGGTACTGGGATTTCAATTCAGCAGCTTCCTTCACATTCCACTGTTTCCTTAGCTCTTTGTGGCAATGAATCTATAAGTCTTTTGCTCGTAAGTGTCCTGAATATGTCTTCTTTTGTCCATGACTGATCTTTTTAAAGGAAATACAAAGTCTATAGAATTATAAAGTCTTTCTTTGTTTTAGGAATATGTATTCTTAAGACAGTAATTGATACTCCAAAGAAGCATAAGCTTAACTCTTTATAATTACAGGTTATATAAATAGCTCTAATTTGTTTATATTGTATAGTACTCATGGCATTTGTTGCCTTCCAATGCAATACTGAGTCCCCACTTCTCTCTGAAAATCAAGCAGCTCCTGGTGCCTAAACAACATTTTATTGAACATCAGCCTTCCTCTTGTGCACTGGCACTCTGTGCATGCTCTCAGCAAATGACTCTTGCATCTTGTGGCTGATTTGAAGTATCTGGTTTATTTCAGATATAGCAAATCATGGTCTTAGTGCTGACAGTTCTCTGGTTCAATTACTCCTCATCCCAGCCACTCTGCAAAAGCAAAGAATAAAAGTAGGGCTTCATTCCACAGAGACCTGGAGATGAGAAATTCAGAACCTAGTTGACAAGTTACACATACTCAGTTCTTCAGCACTATTCAGCACCTTTTTGATCTTACATGTCTTAAGATATGGGTTTTCCTATCCTCACTTTTTTCCTACTCCTAAATTCTCCAACTAATCCCCGTGTTCCCTACCCCTCAGTACTTCTAGGGATTTTTTGACCCTCAACAAGAAATTTAGTAACTTCCCAGTTCCCAAAGCAGTCTGGATGGTGTTTAAAGACAGAGGGCTCTTGTGCAGATTAGCCTGGAACAATCAAGGGCTACATTCTGTTCACCTTTCCTTTGATGGACACATTATTTAGGGATTTTATCTTGATGGGTTCAGTTACCATAAAACTGCACAGATGCTCCTGAAAGAAAGCTGCAAGACAAGCAGACCAGACCAATAGGGTGATCACTGTTGAGAGGGTGAACAACACAACAACTAAGAAGTGAACAAATAAATAGGTAATGAAAATATCTTCGTTTTGTTTTCAAGCATTTTAAAACATTTAGAGACAATGAAAAAGCCAGCAGACATGGTAAAAGTTACACAGAACTGTGAATTCATTTTTCTTCTCTCTTAAATGAAATATAGTCTGTAATCTCTATAAATGCATGTTCTGCCTCCACCCTGCATTCAATACTGCATTCAATTCTGCAGCCTCCCCCCAGTCTCATTAAAAATAGAACTGGAAGAAAATTCAGAAATGGTCAACAAGGACAAAGGCATAGAAATGGGATTTCATAACAGTGAGTTAAAATGGTAGGCAAGTATGAAAAGGGCACTGCTTCTGTTTGTGACAAAGCTGTCTAGATAATAAAAGCAGGCAAAATCTTAAGTCTCTTTGAATTCAGCACAGATGATTTCCTCAGTGCATTTGCATATTTTACTTGGTGATATATGGAAAAAATTATTAGCAATTAATTTGTTACTGCAGAACAGGCCTACTGCCTTCCCTGCCTACAGGCCATGGTTTCATAAAAACCTTTAGGCAAAAGGAAGTGATATTGGAGTCTCCTTCCCTGGCAGGGTGGAACTGCTAATTTGAAGATATCTGCTATCACATCACAATATCAGAATCATGTATGTGGCAAGGGACTTCTACAAGTTTTGTAGTCCAGCTTTCTCCTCGTGGCAGGTCCCATTAAAGCAGGTTGCCTTTAGTCATGTTGAATTGAGTTATGTATATCTGGAAGGATGGAGTTGCCGTAGCCTTTCAGGGAAAATTGTTTCAGTATTTGATCCTTAAAAAAAAAGTTTCCTATAATGAATTGCTGTAGGTTGTGCTCATTGCTTCTTGAGCACCTCTGGGAAAAATGTGGTTGCATCTCTTGTACACCCTTGCTTTACAAAGTGCTCCACAGTACGATGATCTCCACTCACCATCTTCTTTAAACTTGGGCAAATCCAGCTCTCTCATCTTCTTGGATGTCATGAACTGCAGCTGCCTGAGCAGTGTGGTAGTCTTGCTTTAGTGTGTCAATGGCTTTCTTAAAATGAGACACAGAGCTCCAGATGTGATGTGACAAGTGTCAGATGGAGGGGAAGAATCAGTTCCCTCCAAACCTACCGGCGGTACTCAGCCCACTTGGCAGCTGGGCACATTAGCTCCAAGAGCACACGGCTGACTCACATTCAGTTTGTCCACCACAACCCTCAGCTCCTTTTCTACAAAGCTGTTCTCTATCCAGTCAGTTCCCAGCCTGTCCCACTTGGGGGGTCGTCCAACCCAGTTGCAGGGCTTTGCATTTGTCTTCGCTGAACTTCATGAGGTCCCCAAAAGCTCATTTTTCCAGTCTGACTAGGTCTGTCTGAGTAGCACCCTGCCTTGCAGTGTATCAGCCACTCCCCCCAATTTGGTATCACCCACAAATGTGCTGAGAGGTCATTCTATCCCATCATCCTGGTCATTACATCAGCCATTTCAAGAATCCAAGGTGATGTAACCTATATAAAGAAAGCAAGTCAAATATCCTTTCAGAGGCTTCAAATTTTGTTTTAGAAACATGCACACACGGCATTGCCAAGTCTTTTTTTTCTCAATATATAAAAATAAGAAATAGCTCTGGGTTCCACAAGAAACAGGCCATGAGTCTTTTTTTGGATGCAAATGTCAAATGTAGCACTTGACTTAGAGAGTGCAAATCTGGAAGGCAGAGATGACTGTCAGAACCTAAGAGCCAAGCAAGCTGCAAGTTATTTATAGAGTCTTTCCCCAGCATCTCCAGTGTGTGCCTTTGCTCAAAGATAGGCAATATATTTCCATGCCATAAAAATGGACAGAACTGCATTGGTAAATACGTGGTGCTCTGAGGACGTTCTTGCAATCTCACTGCCTGCCTGGGTGGTTGTGTGGATGGAATGGATCTGTGCTAGCAGCTGTTGTACTAGAGGGGCAGAGGGCAGAATGGGGATCAGGAAAAAAAACAAAACTAGAAGGAAGAGAAAAGAAAACTGTAGGAGTAATTCAGCTCTTCTGCAGACAGTTTTAAGAACATTTCTGTAATAACAACCTTTCCAGCACACAACTGTCTGTTATGGGCAGTGACACACTACATGGTGTTTTTGCAGCATGGACAGAGTAACGTTGCTCCTAAAGGGCAGGAAAGGACAATGCTACAGACATGACCCCCAAAATTCTCTTGGGACATATTGTGCTACTCAGACACTTGCTATTACCAGAGACTTTACAAGCTATGCTATAGGCTGGTAGAGTTTTAAAGCTAGATTTTGTGGTGTATGCTAGAACTTACTATTATTTGAGATAATACATGTACATTGCAAAATACTATAAACTGGCTTAGCAGAATGTTTTCTAATCTTCCACATGGAGCTTGTCTCTCCAAACTTGGCTTTATAACTCTTGTACACTTTGGGACAACATCTCCCAACAGCATGAGCTGAAGAAAACACTAGTAAACAGGAAGCATTGGTTGTGAAAAGGAGCTAAGAGAAGATGGAAGGACATGAAAGTGAGGAAACCCAGCCAAACCTCCAAAAATGGGAACAAAGGCACTGAATGTTTCCAAACACTCAGATAATTAAGGCTGTTTGCTTTGGTATTTTTATGAAGACAACAATGATAAAGAAGTTGTGTACTACATGGACATCTGTATCTGAAGGAACATGCACTTGTAAAGGATATATTCCAGGCAAAACCTGTGTTCCAATCCAATGTTTAAGAAGATGTGGGATAACTCAGAGACATTTACCCAGTGTAGCAACAAGTAAACACAGTCATTTGACTTAACTGCTGGGAAACAACTCTTCAGTTCTAATTATTCTGATACCCGTGCTTCTTTCCTTATTTTCCTCCAGGAGACAGTGCCACAGAACAACCTAATCTGGGACTTAACCTGGGATGCAAAACATCAAGTTCCTGTTTTCCAGCTCTGCTACAGCCATCATAAGCACCTTAAGTAAATCACCCTGCCTCCATTCCCATCTCTAACACAGGGAAAATAATTTCTTTCACCATTCTTTATTAGTTCATTAATTCATTGAGGCAGCAAGTATGCCCTATGGCTTAAATGCCAGATGCTTAATGCTGTAGGCATTTTTTAGGACTTTGCTTAGACATCTACAGACCCTAGTACTTCTGTACTCAGCAGCAGCAACATTACATTGGTTCACAACAAGTTAAATGCAGAGTATTTGTAAATTTGACCAAGGTAGGTGCCATGCTTTTTCATTTCTCAGGAAAAATAACTGCTGTTACTAAATAAAAATTTTAATGGAGCTATTATTTCTACAAAAATACAGCTTTTCAGCTGTTAAGTCAGCAGTAAATCTACTGTTACACTTAGGATCACTACCTTCACCTGATCACAGGGTAGTGGATAACTTGCACTTACATTAACTATATTTTAGACCATTCTAGCACTTTCCATAAACATTTTAACATTTTGGGTTATTATACCCTGCCGTTTTCCTGCATGTACATAATCCCAGACCCTGAGAAAGGAGGCTTTTAGAACTCATTTAACAAGTTTCCCAATAACAGTGTTATGCTGTGACAGTGTTCCTCAGTACAGCCATGTGTCTCAATTATATTAATCTATTTCTCAGATTTAAAAACAATTAAAGCAATCATAAGGCACATGCAGCCTTTTTTGAGAAAGTACATTTGAAAAGCAAATGCTTCTCCCCACCCCTGCACAGCTTCAGTTGACAGACAGAAAGAATTCATCAGTAAGAGGGAAAATGCCATTTGTCATATAGGACTTAGGCCAGTTTCCAAGTGCTTCAAATAGAAGAAACGAAACACTGCAAAAAGAAATATGACAGGTCTACACTGCTACATAAGTTTTTAATTAAGAAATTTAAACTGAACCAAATCTAATTTTAACAACATGACTCCATCATTGTAATCCATAGGAACTTCCAGTCTGTTAGTGGTATATTTTCTTAGCCATATGCCTGGCAATAAACTGGACAATCTAGCTCTGCCTCAATAAAAGTATTTCCTTCTATCAGATTTCCTCCCCTCTCACCAATTTCACTGGATGTTCTCCTTTGAACTTTTACTATACTCACAGGAATCAGAACTCATGACTTGCATTCCTTATTTCATCACTATATACAGTTTCTGTCCCCACACATCTTTGTGTACTTTCTGATAGAAGCAGGTGTCATCTGAGCATTTCAGTCTCATTTGATTTTTCAGTGGTTACAACGTTACTTTCCTTTCTTCAGAGAAAAACATATCAGCTGCACTAACACATTGCGTCAGTCAGCATCCTGAAGAACAACATGAAATGTAATTCATCTTGCTCCCTTGGATACTGTTTTCATTGTCATATGCAATGGTATGCTGAATGGGATAGTGTTCAAGTGGAAGTTTCATTAAGCAGCTCTCGGACACCATTAAAGTGTTCTAATAGGTGTGACTTATTGACCGGAAGAGTCGGTAAACAAATGAAGTATAAGTGACAGTAGGAGACCAGAGTAACAGTAATTAGCGATGTGACTCCATGAGTAATAGGAAAATTGTCCTGACCCAGTTGATGGCAATAGCAACAAAATCTTTAAAAAATGTAAAAAAAAAAAAAATCCCCAATAGATGAGTTTTCTGCCAACACATATAAGGGTCACGAGCAGCCTTTCCGCTTGCCACATAAGCCACTTCACTCGTATTCCGCTCCAGCTGTGTTGGGGCAGTTGTGCTCCCCGTGCTGGCCAGAGCCATGCATAGGGGTGGAAGGAGAGGGACAGGCTGGCAGCATTGTCCCAGCACACCTCACCTGCAGCTGCTTGGAACTGCAGCCATCAGGGCTTCACAGGGAGCCTCCAGCAACCTTCCCCTCTCTGCAGAACACCAGCACTGTGGTGGGAACCCTGCTCATTTCTGCTGTGTGCAGTTCCCACAGGCACCCTCTGCCTTGCAAAGTGCCGTGCACAGTCCTGGCTGAGCTGCCACACCTTGCCTGGTGCTCTGCAGGGAGTTGCACAAAGGCCCACCAGGTGTACAATGGCATATCAGTATCCTGCCTCCAATCAACGTTTCACATTAATCCCATGCTCCCCTCACTTCAGTGCCAATACAAACATTTCAAAGAGCTTGGATTAATGAGAGCATAACAAAAACAAATCTGTCTGTACATGCTTTTTGTCTCTTGAAATCATATCACATATGATTTTCTACCTCTCCTGAATAAAGACAAATGTCATAACACAGAAATCAGAGCATTTTAATGCAAAAATACAATTATTCCTCAGTATGTGCATGAAAAAATGATTTTATTTCTTTGATGAGAATACCATTCACAAAAACCCCCCACCAAACTACCAGCTTCTCTCCAATAGTAAGATGACATGACAAATAAAAAATTATTTGTAAGTTCCATAAATAGAACTAGTTTTATTTCTCTTTCCATATCCTAGCAGTGTAGGCCTCAATGGGATCCTATGGGGGTAATATCCTGGAATATAATAATGCCAAAAAAAAGAAGAAAAAGTATGAGCACCACAAGACAAAACACATGCACACATAATCAATACTCTAAATTTCAGGGCTCCTGATTGCTTGAACAACTGACAGGAAATGCACTGGTTTCAGTGCAATAATGAAAGGTCTGAAGAAACACTTGGAAAGTATGAATACAGAAAAAAAAATCACATAAAAGCAAGTAGTATTGTCTGTGTGTTGAGAGAAGCAATGAAACTGATTGTAATAAGACACCTAGTTGTATGTTTTGCAAAATAATACAAGAGTTGGAAAGGGAAAAATATACAAATATGCAATGTACAAAAAATTACTCACTTTGAGAGTTTATTTGTTTGAGGTGCAATTAAAAAGTTTTTATCAAGCTACAAATATCCGTAACCAGTTTAGGAGTTGGTTGTCCTTTAGTCATCCAAGGAAAGGAGCAATCAGTAGATGAAGTCTGGCTGATGCAGACTCCAGATAAAGCACGTCTTCAGCACTGGTTATAATTAACCACCAGACTAACTTACAACACAATTCCTGCTTTCCTCTTCTAGATCTGGATTAAATTACCTACGAACTGCTGTAATTCAAAAAGAAAATACAGCTGCCAGAGCAGGAAGGTGTGGAGGAGCGGAGAGGCGGCCCCCCTCAGAGAGCTGCGGGGTGTGACCCCCCGTGCCCGCACCGCGCTCCGCTGCCCGAGTGACAGGTCCCAGCTCTCGCCGGCTCTTCCAGCGGCAGCTCCTCCCTTCTGGCCAGATGGACAGCACAGCTTGGACTTGGGCTCCGGGGGACCCGGCTCGGGGCAGAAAGCAGCCTTTTATAGCCGGCACGCCGGGCTGCGGCTCACTCCTACACACTCCGCTGCCGCGCACAGCGCCGCTGCCCGGACCCGCACCCCCGCCCGTCGCTGCGCATGGCGCCGCTGCCCCCGCTCCTGCTGCTGCTGCTGCTGCCGGCGGCCGGTGAGTAGAGCAGAGCCCCGGGCCGGGGCTCGGCATCCACACGGTCCTTCCCGGCAGGGAAGCGGCCGCGTCCAGCGGCGCTCCCTTGTCCGGACCCGGCGGGATGGGGCTTGGCAGGTGGGAAGAGGGGTAGAGAAAGGAGTGTTAGGAGAAACACCTCACCTCTCGGGAGGTGCCTGTGTTCCCACGGAGAGCAGTCCGTGTGACAGGTGGCCAGCGCTGGGGCACAGCTGGCTGGGACTCGCCCAAGGGAACCCCCGGTTTGCCGCTGGCAGCGGCGGCTGGAGCGGCACCGACAGCGCGGCCGATGCTCGGACCGCACCTGCACATGGCAGCGGGGCTGCAGGGGCGCACATTACTTCTGTAAAGTTCATCAGTAATGTGCAAGTCCGCTAACGAAGTTCCGTGCTTGAAATCAGTTTGCAGCTTGCACGTGCAATACCAACCTTTCTATAAAGGCAGGAACTTTACCCCGCTCTTCTCTGGGTATTGGAGTGAGCTGTCACGGAGCAGAGTTACTAAGCAGTTCAGAAGCAGGAATTGCTAGGACTGAGATCGCCTACAAAACCCTAATTGGGTTATTCTGAAAAATGAATCAGTCTTCATGAATAAGTTATGATGTGAGAATGTAATTAAAGGACCCCTGCCTCACACCTTCACACAGCCAATTAGTCACTTTGCAAATATTTAATTTTTTTTTTTCTCTCCTACATCCTATTTATTAATCAGTGTTAAAGACTGGTTGGAACAATTCACAGTCCATTTCCTCGTAGGTTTTCTGAGGTATTCATCAGTACAGCATCTGATTGTACTAATTTCTCCGAAACTATATTATCGTCCCTCTTTTTCAGATATGTATGTGGGCTGACACAAAAAAGCATCCTCTAATTTTAGGTTCCCATGGTGACATGGTAGAACCCAACTTAACTTACAACTACACAAAATTATGTGGAACTCCAACTAATCAAATCCTGGTTCTACTGAGTGCTGTGGTAGCTTGGTACTCCAACCCCAGCATATTCAGCAGGTTGGGAGCCTACTATTTGTAAACATCAATAGGCATTGCTTTAAAGTGATTAAATTAACCTCATGCTGAACCTTTGTGACAGCTGCAAGGATAAAATCCTATCTTCCAGAATAGCAATCAGCTGCCTTAAGTAAAAGATTCTCTTGCAGTTTTTTTCATACATTCTTACACAGTTAGCAAATCTTGCAAATGGCAGGATCCTAAAGAAAAGAGCCTCAATTAATTCCTAGAACAGATTCTGGGCACAGAATGGAGCAGGGTTTGGGGGAAGGCAGTCCTGTGATTAAAGCCCATAAGGTAAGGTGCTTAATAATGGGGCCAACTTAGGGTCCCCCAAGCTCCCTGGCCCAATTCTAGCTCCTGACCTCAGATTGCCCTTTGATTCCTTCTGCATTTTGATCATCCTCCAGACTTCATCCTTTGCATGGGACAGACCTCAGAAGAACATTAAGGAAAGCAATGAAATCACTGTTTCTGCCAGCTTGGAGCGCTCATTACAGAGAGCCTGGCTGCGCTCCGATTGCTCTGAGTCAGGCACCTCAGTCACCCACTCCGTGGGCAGTGAGGAGCACGGGAAATGCAATTTACCTGTTTCCCAACTGGTCCAAAGTATCAAAACAGGAAAATTTAACCTTTCAGAAAATTTACATGTGACCAGAGTTTGTGGAGATAGCATGTAAGTTGTCTGGGCAATAAAGTGAGGGGAAAAAGGCCATTCCTGATGGCTTATAAAACAAGAGGTAAAAAGCTAAGCAAAAACTAAGGTTTCTATAAGGCATACAGTTATTTTTTGCAAGATTTTGGAAATGCATCAGAAAGTCTGCTTATTCCCAAGTTTCAAGTTCTGAATTACTGGAGCCTTATGACTGCATAGAGATATCCCTAGAAAGGAAATTTTACACATATTTACCATAAAAAATGTTTCTGTATCCTTAGTCTTTAAAAGAACAGCTTAAAAATTCTTTTTAAACCCACAAAACAGCATATACTATCATCATCATATTGATACTCTGTTTCCATAGCTCTGTGCATTCTCAGATGGTATTTTATTGCTTTTATTAACTCAGCTCATAAAGCTGTTGTGACAGAGTATCATATTGAGAGTATCTATGCCATGCTGGTTTACAACTGGATGTCCAGATGCTGTAACACAAATATATTACAAGGACAAAAAGTTTATGTTCTTTTCTTTAAGACACATGGCATATTATACTTGAGCTCCTCAGGTCAGAGAGTTCATCAGAGAGTTCATCACTTCTACTTGTCATGGATTTAAATCATGGGACTGGCAATTGTCCCAAGTCAGCAAACAATTCTCAGATGAAACCAGGAATATGATTTGGAAATTCTTGCTTTCTTCTTCCTGACTTGTATCTCTCCTACACCATCCTTCCCCAGTTACCAGGAACTGAGACATAATGTAAAAATCTTCACTTTTTTCAGAATCCCGGAGGTCATGCAGAGCAAACACAGCTTTGCCATTAACCATGGTTCCTCCAGACATTACTGGCTGTCTACAAGAGTAACCATTACTGACACTAAGAGCATAACCAGTTTTCACTTGTAATGCTGCAGCCTTATTGCAGGGTTTTCAGCTCAGAATTTACTGAACTTGTAGTGGCAATGAAGATAAAGCTCTCAATGCTATCATAAAATGAATTTGTTTATAGCCAAAAGGATGCTTCTGCTACCCAGAACCAAACTTTCACACTAAACATACAGGTAATGTTCTGGAACAGAAGCCATGCACAACAGATACTGTTCACTGTCTTAGCAAGGAAATTTAGGGCTAACTCAGCAGTTTTGAAATGAAACTGCAATCGACTACATAGCAAGGAAGCTTTTCTTAATTCCTCAGGATATGATTGCTTTTAATCAATGGCCAAAGCTGTATGTGCAAGTTTAAACACCCTTGTTTCAACACTTCTGCCCCCAGATCACATGCTCAAAAAGCAGGAGAGACAAGATCTGGGAGTGGTCACCAGTCAGGAAAGTGATGCTGCCTCAGGATTCTTCCTAAAGTGTTTTTTTTAACCATTCTCACTCACAAACCAATTGAATTTCTTACTGAGGTGATTTCATGAGGTGTTTAAATTCCACTGTTTCACGACATTACAAGTGCCAGAGGTCACCAGCATCCCACACATTTCAAATTACTCAACTGTGCTGGGACCGGTATTTTTTCTGTCAGATTTTCCATTAACTGATTATAGTTAATCATATAATCTATTATGATATAATCTATTACAAAAGGTTACTCTATTATGCTATTATAATAGATTATGTGCTTATTTAGATTATATAAAAACTGCATAATCATATAGTTATTTTGTAGGAAAGTAACCATCAAAGCCTTCAACAATGAAGCCTGGTTTTTTTTCTGTCTCCATCACAGGTATTACCAGTTATTAAATCTTAATGCCTTTTGGAATCTGTAACCAGTACTGGAGTTTAGGTTTATAAACTGTTCTCCTCATACCAAAATAAGTAATTAGTTTGATTAATAAAAAACTCTAATCAGAAGGCTTCTAAAACATTTGTTTTGTAGTCATTCAACTTCTTAAAATTTGCTTGAATAGCTTGGAGCCTGCACTGCAAGGAGAGGCTGCCCATTACCATTGGGGTCTTCAGTGTGTTAGTTCAATCTCTAAGCATGACATGAACCCCTTAAAATGTCACCTAGAGTCTCAACAGTTTTCTGCTGCTTGGGACCTCTTGCTTTAGTACTGATATGGGATGGTTAAAATATAGTTCCTAAAGTAAATTTTGTTCTGGAGAAATAATAGTGAGAATCACTTCAATAACAACAACCCCAAACAAAAATAAACAGGAAAATAACCAAACCCTACCTTTCTAATTTCCCTGGAAAAACTCCAAGCACTCATTCATTTCCCTTCCTTACATCCACCACACCATTCCCACCAGTAATTTGGCTGCTTTGTCTAAAAATCAGGAAAACAAAAACCCTATCATAAAGGACCTTTTTCTTCCAATGTAAAGCACTACATTCTACAAAATAATATGGGCAAAATTGCACGTTATGTTAAAGAGAAAACACTGCAACTCTGAGGCGGCTAATCTTAGCAACTGGGTGGGCCTGGGCCACAGAACACATGCTGGCCCTCACCAGCTGGAAGACTGGAAATGACTGGTCTGCCATTGAACACTGCCTCCATGGGAGAAAACCACTGCAGCTCTTCTCAGGGTTCAGTATTCTGCTCACTCTGGACTGGGGACAAAGGGACTGGCAGCATGGCCCCAAAGTGCCAAAAAATAAAACCGGATTATTTTCAAGTACTGTAATTTATTATCAATGCTTTAAAAAACCCAAACAATCCCAACTATTTCATATTTGCATGTTGGATTCAATAACAGTTTTTCTTCCACAGTTTATAAAGGCACTTTTGGGGAAGCCCATTTGAGAAATCGAAGAGGAATCCTGGAATTGGCTGGAGCCATCAGATGCACCACAGGGCGCTCTCCCTTTGCCTACCTGCGCTACGGATGCTACTGTGGCTTGGGAGGAAGAGGATGGCCCAAGGACAGAGTAGACTGGTGAGAGCAACTATTTATCTGAATAATTAAGTACTGAATGCAGATGACAAATAAAAGGACTAAAATATAAATTAGGCCTGTTTGAGAGAGGGAACTGAGTTTAAATACAGCTCAGATTGCTAAGAAACTCTGAGGCATTCAAAATGTGTTGCTGTAGATCTACACTATCTTGCCTTGAATTCAAATTCTCATGGCATTAGTACAGGATTCACAGTACAACTGAGTCTTTGCTGTTGTGTTTCAGCAAAGAGCTAAATAACTAAAGTTTTGTTGGAGAAGCTTTAAAGTTCAAACATTGAAGCTATCTAAAGTAAAAATTAAAAAAAATAAAGACAGTAGTAAATATTTTGATTTTACTATCTTTCATGTCATTAGTATTCACAATAATATATAAGAATTATGCAAAATTCAACCTGGTGAAAAATAATTCTAAAACCCAAACCTTTCCATTTAGTACTAAATCACAGTATACTGATATCATCAATGTAACTTATAACTGAACATTAACTGACAAGAAGATGATTTGGGGTTTCGTTTTGGTTTTGTTTTGTTGTTGCATGGTTTGGGGTTTTTTAAAATTTCTATGCGTGAAAAGGAGTTACTGAGCTGTGTTGTTCAACTGTTATGTACCACAGGATCTTTACACAATGATTTGTGGGGAAGGACCAAGTAATTACTTAATAAGCATGGGAAAAACAGTAATTGCAAAGTGAGAGCTCACAGCATTAACTTTTCCTATTGCAGACACAACTGAATGAATGAATGAATGAATGAATGAATGAATGAATGAATTCTTTGTGGATACACCCAGTTCTTCCAGCAAGTCAAAAAGAAAGGATGTAATTAGTTTGCAGCAAAAACTTACAAGCTGCCTAATTTCAGGTCCTTGTTACCTCCTCTCCTTGCTTTTCTGGGCTTGCAATGACTCCACAGCAGAGACACTACAGCAGTATATTTTAATGCCTTTTTTAAGCATTAAAATGCCATTAATTCTTACCTGTACTGTTCAGTTTCACAATGTCATAGAGAAAGCCTAAAATTTCTTTGTGCCAATTATGACAAGAACAATTTTGAAATAATAATTTTGAGCAACTTTCCAAATTTTCTGATGATAATGAGCTTCATTTTGTGGAAGGGGCTAGGAGAAAAGCATACTCACATATAACAGAGAATGCTCTGAAGATTCAATTAGCTCAATGTATATCAGACATTTTTCTCATCACTTATTACATGAAAAAGTAGTAAATTTTTCCAAATAGTAAATTTTTCCATTACCCTGGTTTGGTTCCTGAGCAGGTAATGTTTGTACACTCACTGATGTTGACTGTTTCATTATTCCACAGCTGTAGTAACCCACTGATAAAGCCCACCCAGAGTGTGTGACCATAAATCACCATCTCTGTTCCTCTCAGGTGCTGCTTTCACCACGACTGCTGCTATGGGAGGGCAGAACAAGCAGGATGTCAGCCAAAGACTGAAAGCTACCACTGGGAATGCAAAGACAATTCTGCTGTGTGTGGTGAGTGAGCACTTGGAAGTTTTTTGGTGTTGGGTTATTTGTTTGGTTGTTTCTTAATTCTACTAATTGTCTCATTAGAAAGGTATTTTCTTCATTAACTGTAAAATTCTTAGTTTACCTTCCTTTTGTGATGTTTTTTTGTCAGGATACACTGTGCCTCCAGAAAGCACAGCTAAACCAATGAACTGAATGCAGTTTCTTTTTCTTAATCCTCCCTCTGACATAAGCAAACAAAACTGTGAGCTAGAAGCACCTATTACCTTTTCAGAAAGCACAACCACAACCATCCTTTTACATTTGCTGAGGAACCCATGTTATGCTACTCCCTGCAAGTCTCCACCTGGAGAGCAAGTACCAACAGGAGACAAGAAAATTTTAACAGTTTAAAAAGGAGGTTTTCCCTACTTAGCAGAAAGTATTTCCCACAATTTGTAAGTTTATAAGGGACATGTTTTTGGCACATTTATCCCTGATCAGTTGCACTGATGGCTGCAATTTATGAATGAATTCATAATTACGGGTTACAGTTTCAAACAATGAGGTAATAAAATATTTGATGAGTTTATTTCTGGAAGTTAAATTAACAAATACTAATTTGAAAATATTTACATAACTCAAGTATACAAACTGCAACAGATTGCTGACCACACCCTGATAAATTTTGTTTGATTGCTCCAAAATATCCTTGCCATGCTGAGGTAAGGGAAGGACAAAGAGATCACAAAGAAAGAAAAGCCCCAAAAAATGGTTAACAGGAAAATGCAGCTTTTCTTTTACATTATTTGTTCATGACTTCCAAAGTTTTAGCAAATGCTTTCTGATATACTGAAAGACTCATTGAAACTGTAGCTTGGCACAAGCCCCCCCAATATTTATGAGGTTTTTTTTCTTGTTGTTGTCACGCTTTTATTGGTTTTTTGTTTGTGTGTTGTTTGGGATTTTATTTGCTTGTTTTGTTTTTAAAATGAGGTGCTTTGTCAGTTAATTTGCATATAATTTTATACTTCTACCTAGAATGCAAATGAGCTTGAAAATTGGTTATTATTTACACTACAGAAATGCAAAAACCCTTACATAAACTTGTTTAAAACAAGTCTGAGTTTCTGACTACCATGGTTTAAAGGCAACAGTTGGCCATTTACAGAGAATACAAAACCCTCTCATTTCATATTCAATTTAGAATTTGCCTGACCTGAAAACAAATGAAAGTTTGGATATTACTTCCTTTCCTCCTTCACATTCAATTTTTACTTTGCCCAAGTAAAAAATTCATTCAGAATCTCTACTTGCTCACATCTTTCCCTGCCCCAGATGGACAAAACATCTTCTCTCTCACACTAATTAATCACATTACAGTCCACCCTTATTTGGCTGTAAAGATTTTGCTCCTGACAATATTCAAAATACTGGCCAAGATATCAGGCATGATGTCAGGAAACCAAGTGCCTGGCACAGCATGGAGAAGATAAAGTCTGGAGCAATACCAGGAGAAGAACAGAAGAAGCAATAGTTCTCAGTTTTCATGTTTTCATTTTTTATCCTGTCAGGTTGTTCATGCCACCTGTGCTATTGAGTAGCTCTTAGGGCAGTTAGCTGCAGCATAAACACATATACATTAAGAACGCTTCCATTTCATGGCAGAATTTGAATTTTCATTCACAAAACTGAACACTTGTTCTGCTTCTGGACAAATCTCAAGCAGTCATTTGGCTAAGCTTTTAAAATGGTAAACACTCAGACAAAATGTAATCAAGGATTCTTCAGTTTACAGACAGTTACAGAGAGAAAAAAACCACACACTTCTGGGTTGGCACACTGAACCCAAAATACGTGGCTGTAGAAGAAAATGTTCATGCCAAGAAGAAACACTCATGCCAAGAAATCTGTTCAGTTACAACACTACAATTATAAAACAAACATGACAAGACATGGATTTGTCACACAAACACACTTTACCTAACTTCTCACCTTAATAAAAAAAGGTGGGCAGTTTAGGCTGGACATGGAATACTTTTACATGCCATGTATATATCCCGTATATAATTTTTAATGCTATATGCTATAGTAGATTATAAAGGGTATGTGAATGGAATATCTTCCCAAAATCAAGTTTCACTAGAGCAAGAGGGGAAGCAGGGAGGGTCCCATGCCACTTTCTAAACAGAGATCAGTTATCAGAGTTCCTTTATTAAAAAACTGGAAGAGTATTTAAGTCTTTATCCGGCTGTTGTATTTTCACCTGCCAAGATCAGTGGTTACTGACTGATCCACAGGTTCCCATTCTTACCAAAGCTCAGTGCAGTTCCTATTGCACTTGAAATGTAAGCATTTGTACTGCAAATAGGGAACATGAGGGAGCAATTCTTGGTAAAAGTCCACTGGGGATTTTTAATTTCTTCAGACTAATATCAAACTTACTGTGTTTTCTTTCAGACTCACTAGAAGATACATGTCAAAAAATGGCATGTGAATGTGACCGTGAAGCTGCCAAATGTTTTTCTAAAGCTCCCTACCATAGAAAATACCTTTTGTGGCCAGACTTTATGTGTGGTGAGATTCAGCCTTTGTGCAGGTATTAGATACGTAAGTCTTGTATATATTTAAATCTAAAATTACTTTTTTTGGCCACAGTAATGACAAGAAATGATTTTCCCCCTTTCTTGATACTCCTTCATTCCACCTCAGCCTCTCCACCTCAAAATGGCCAAAGTAAACATTTTTCCTGTTATTTACTTTCTCCCATGCACTTATTATTGACTAAATAGAAATCTGAATTTATCTGCTTAAGGAGTAACTGCCAATGTTAATTTTTGTTTATATTCAGATTCACAGATTTTTCAGATTGATAATATAATTCGCTGTGAACTTACCCCCCCTCCACTGGCTAGAAGATACAAATCAAACTTCTCCACTAACAAATCTTAGCATTTGTTAACTTTGAACTGGCTGGAAAACGTTCATGAAGTGGCAGTGTCAGCACAAAGAGCCCTCTCATCTACATTAAACACTTACTACAAAGCCTAATTTAAGTGCTGAATTTCATTCACCTGGAGTAATGCTACCTGCATTGAAGAATCATATAATCAGGTTTTTTCTAGAATTTACTTTTTAAGTAGAGTTTTCTAAACAGCTGTTTATTTTATAAGGCTCAGACTCCTTAGTCTATGTACACCCTGAATTCCCTGCAAGCACAGGGAGGAATTCTACTCTTAGAATTTTAGAGTCAGATTTAAAAATGCAAATGCAAACCATCACCAAAACAAAACACGAAAAAAAATGTAGAACTTGTTGGGACCAACTGGCTTTCCCACAAGTTATGATCCTGCACAGCAACAGTTTATGAAGCTCAGAAGTGTATACACCTCATCAGGATATAAAGATAGGGTAATTTCACAGATATTTTTAACCCTCTGGGAAGAGAAATCAGTACCCGGAACTGACGAATAATACACTTTTTTGTATCTGCTGTTTTCAACACTTATAGAAGTGTTTCATGTCTGCTTTCACCCACCTCAACTTACTCAGAGATGTATGGCTAAAGAACAGGTTTGCACAAGTCAAAGCTAATGACATGTACTTCAGTATTAAAAAAAATAAAAATCAAAACCCCAAATTCTCTATAGGAACAGTGAAGATTTCAAGAGAGATCTTTAATCGTGAAAAATATTCATAGGCAAATTTAGATCACATTACTGACACAAATGAAATAAACAAAACAACAAACCAATGCAGACTGCAAGGGGACAAAGTTATTGAAAAAAAATCTGTTGATTACCTTTTGATTCAGTCAAAGGAACATGCATTAAGAAATGTCAATCCTGCTTACACAAATAACTTTCCAGTCAATATTTGCTCACATAGATACACACATTATATTGCCATAATTACAGTGTCAGGTCACTTTTCCAAAATAATCCTTTTTAAGAGATATTTAAGAATTTAAGAATTTGCAACAGAATTTAAGAAGAGAGAATGAAAGGAGCTGTTGATGAAGTCTAACTGAGTTGAATAAAAAATTTCCATGGTAATTATCACATTTTCCAAGACACAAGAAAATTCAAGTAGTCTTTGCCTTCAACTGCAGGAATTTTGGAGCAAACTCTACTGTGAGACTGTGTATAGGGCAGTCACAATGCTACATGTAAAAGACTGAAATAAATGAAGTTCTTTCAACATCAAGCCTATTCAGGAAGGGCATTCCTTTGGCAAACTGAAGTTGAGGAACACATTGTTGGTATGAAATGTTAAGTTTAAAAAGAAAAAGAAAGAAATCACTGTAGCAGTGCAGAAGACACTGACTTTAAGGCAGGCTTGAAAACACACAGAATGCTCAGGACAGAATAAAGAAATTTATCCGATACAAATAGGGAGAGATGACTGTATGAGTTTTACATGGCTATACAGGAATGTGCTTTTTTTTTTTTCCAATGGAAAATTCGTTTTTCCTTCATCCTTCAATTTGGAATCAGCTGGTTTAAGAGTAACTTATCTTAAAGCTTTTTTGTATGTTTAAATTAACATAATCCACCATTTTCACTGCCACATACATAAAGAAGACAAGCAAAGTCTATTTAAAATGTCCATTTTTAGAAGCTAAACAGCTCAAGAGTTCCAATGCCAGTCACTGCACTTGTGTCTCCAGACGCCTTATCTCTGTAACTACAAGATCAATGTTTATAACTGGGTTAAAATACAAGGCCCAGTAAAACAAACAATTGCAGACAAACTGAGGAATAAAAGGCCAAAAAATGGCAACAAAAAGTCCCTGGGTTGAGACTTTCCAGAAATGTCTCCACATTCTGTGAGGAATAGTCCTGTGAAAAAGGAAAGGGAAAGACTTAGAGGAACTTTCTGGTTTGTTCTTACCCAGCTCTAAGAGATCCTAATAGGTGCTGTGGCTTTGCACTACTTAGCCCTTACTCGGGTACCTGTAGAAAACATCATTTTACACTCCACGAAAAGCTTTCCTAAAAGGCAGTAGCAGCAGATTTAAAGAGGCAGCGCTGTCCGTGCACTTAGAGCCCGCAGTGCCAGTGCCGCAGCACAGCTCTGCCCAGGCTGTGCCCTGCTCCCTGAGCTGTTCTGGGCACGCTCTGCCCTCTAGCGGCTGGCAAAGGCACAACACAGCACACACCAAAACCACAATTTCTCCCGTCCCACTTCCAAAGATCACACCAACTACCAATGTTAATATGCTTGCGTTAAGACTGAGGTAGTAACGGAAAACAGGAATTCTGATATATTATCAGAACTAGTATCAGTATAACTGAACTTATTTACGATTCTGAGGACTCATCCCAAAATAACTACACTGTGTCATGGCTACATTCTGATGTATTTAGTTCTCAGCTGACAGCTAATACCAGGCACCATAAGAGGCAGTTCTCAAGGTAAGGTTTAATATCTCCCAGTGGTTAAGAACATGCTTGTTGCTGTTTCCACATTTGCTACATCTGATAAGTAAAACTGTCTCTAAGAAACCCTTGGAAGCGTGCACAGAAATAAAGGTATTCAAGAGCAAGCAGTAGCATATGTGGGAATGCAGACTGACACGTTCTTAACCTCAGGGTTTGGGTTAGACACTCATTTCAGTGAGCAACTGTGAAATTGTAAGGCTGTTACTCTCTCTTTATAAGGCCGCGTACTTCCTACCCTCTTCCACAAGCTTTGTAAGACTTACTTCAGTTCTCTTCTTGACCACAGCCTCCAAAAAGAGAATAATTCCAGAACAGACAGCAACATGGCATTTACAATTATAAATCTTGATGTCCAGTAATGCACATCTAGCCAATCCCAAGCAAATTCAGCTATCAGCTGGTATGGCAAAAATAAATACTTTACAGTGAATTCTCTCCATTGCCTCCAAGAAGGATCTTTAAGGTCCTGTAAATTAGGATAAAAAGACTGTTAATCAATTTTCTATTAAACTTACTTAATACTGGCTTATTTCCACTAGTCTTTTGTTGAAAAGCTGGGGGTTTTATACACTGAAAGCAGTAATTTATCTTTATTATACTTGCTAGTAGGTAATACTGTAATCCAGTAATTTCCATTAGATTAGAACATCATTTTCTCTAGTTATGTGAACTTCAGAAGAATCAGTTTCACACATTTAAAGTCTTAAAAGCTAAAATCAATCCTATTAAAGGTAATGGTTGCAACACTGGTGATTGCATACAATAAAATCAAAGAACCGCTTACTCTGCAGGTCTGTTGTTTTTAAAGCCATAGTGTAAAGAGATGAAATCATGAATAATTACATGATGTGTTTTTATGCTGCTAGTCTTAAAACGCTTATAACTAAAGCAAACATTTAATGTTTTCAATACTTACAAGTAGTTTTGTGACAGTATCTTCATACTTGTCTTCTTGCATAGGACAAATTGTGTGGATGAAAGGTAGGAAAGCTTCTGCATAATCAAACAAATATAGGTATAACATACTGAGTCTTGGAGAATTCTTCAGTGCATACAGAAGAAAGAGTGATTTTCCTGGGTTTACGGCCTAAAAGATATCAAATTATTAAGTTTCAATCAGTAAAAAAGTAAAATGAAGGGGACATGCCACTTCTTAAGATTTTGTGACAATCATTTTTCAAAGGTTTGTTTTTCAAATACAACAGGTCATTAAACTGAGCAGTTTTTACACAGGTAATTCCACTCCTTTAACACTCCTCCTGTTTTTAAGAGAATCTTCTTTTAAAGGTATTACTTTAAAAATAATTAATATGTATGACATGACACACTTTATATAAAATTTACCTTATATTCCCAAAGGTTCTGTGGTGGTTTAACACCTAAAGTTTTCACACATTCCAGTTCTGCCATAATAGCTCTCCTGTGGTTACTGTTCTCTATACTGTAAGGCTCTTTGGTGAAATCCTCTTCAGTCAGTGTTAGGAGGAGTCTACGAAAGCAGAAGAATTAAGGTGAGCAGTGCCGACTCACCAAAAAGATGACTAACAAATACACAACTGCATACTGAAAAATAAGCTACTGATACAAGGTAGCACCTTTTGGGTTAAAGAATCATAGAATACTTTGGGTTGGCAAACTTTGGGACTTTAAAAGATCATCATTACATTGCATATCAAGTGTTCTACACCAACTGCATCTCAGAGCCTGGGTTTTAAATTTCCTTCTTTTCCAGCTTCCTCTTGCCTGCTTTCAGCATGGCTCTTGGGTGGAATACATACGCAGATAGCACATGCGTATTTCCACAAGGAATGAAAGGTGCAAGGGTGGATAATACATTAGTAGAATTTTACTCTTGATATCATTTCAGTCTGCATTGTCAGCATTTTAAAAAGTTCTTAGAAAATTTTCAGTAGCTTACTGAGTACCTACTACTGAAAGTTTTCAACAGCAATTGTTAAAACTCCTTCTGAAATTTATTCTGACACATCAACAGAATATTCCCACAATCCATGTAACACAGTACAGTCATTTCACAATAAGCCACCCCTAATGAATCTGTCATTAGTCCAATCACATAACAGCTGTCCTTGACCACAAGGCCTCTCACCTTCCATTTACTTTCTCCAGTAAAAATCTTTCTTTGTAATGTGAAGCCCACGGGCCCAGCTGCTCCAGCCAGAGTATCACTTCCTCAGCAGTCCACTTAGCAACAGGCTTGTGGACAAGATGGTCATCTTCAAATTCTCTGCTACTCCAGTGATAGCCAAGTAGAACTACCTACAGGTAGATTACAAAGATAAATAAACAAAGATCCTTTACTTGCAAAGCAAATACATGAATTATATAAATAAACACACAGTAAGAGGTTTGACACACAGAATCTTCCATTTCATGGAGACTAGAACATTCAGGTTTTAAGAAAGTATTTTGAAGTTTTACCCACTGACTTCCATTTGCTGTACACTGCAGTTGTAGTTCCTGACAGACAGCTCTGAAGGCAACTTTACTTACTCAGCCCAACCAGGGAAAACCAAGCAGATGAAACTTACTGCTACACAAGTTAAAGCTGTCAGAACACCTGAGAAGAACCCTCCTCGAGGATTAATTCTTCCTGTGTTTGGAACTGTAGGCATCTGGTCGTTCCCATGCTTTTGGAAAGTTGCTAAGCTGCGTGCTACATCACTGTTCTGTTGAATATCTTCTTTTCTTTGTTCAATGGCATCAGAGAATAGCTTTTCAATAACATCCCTAATAGGAAAAATATTTGTCATTATACTGTAACCATTGAGGCTTAATATTCAGAAAAGGGAGTAATTTTTGGATTTTTGTTTTCCAACCTCTTACTAAAGACAATCCTTTTTAAAAGCAAGAAAAAATTAGTTATTAAAGCTTTGTAAATTTAGAATTTTATCGATCACTGCAAAACAATATTTTCCTTAGTTTCTAAAGCTAAAATACCACATAACTCCCAAGTCATTTCTTATATAAAATTAGAATTCTGTGTGCCACTGTTATTGTGCGCCAGCCTCAATTATTAAAAAATGCTAAACAAAAGACAACATAAATCCTACCATAAATCAATCCTACCATCCATTTATTTAAATGTTATTAACCCCAGATAAAGTATTATTAACAAAACAACTTGTGGGTAATTCAAGACAGCAAGTAGATTTTTTTTAGCTTTGTTCTGCAATATGATCACACTTCTTCCAATAAATAGTTCCTATTACAGAAATTACTACACAATTATCCAAGACCAATCTAACTTAGAATTATTAGAAAACAACCAGCGATATTGGAAGACTGAGGATCCTGCCTCTCCATCTCCCATAAAATGTAGAAGGGGGAAAGCCCTCCCCCAAACAAACCTCCTCCCTCAAAACAAAACCAACCAACCCACCCCTTAATTCCATGTGCTTGAACAGTTCATGACAAGTGCACAAACTGAAAGTCTTTGGGATTTAAATTTCTTTGTGACAGTTCAGATTACCAATTATCTAAGAATATCTGCAGCAAATCAAGGAACCCGACAGCTAATTTCTGTGGTTTCATTTATGTAAAAGAGAAATCCACAAAATAGTTCACTCACCTGAGGAGGATGTTGACTTTGGGGAATCCTTCCCATTTTTCTCTGCACTCAGGGCATTCATTCTTCTTGGACGACACCCACCACAAGGCCAAGCAATGCCTGCAGAAGCTGTGCCCACAGTTCAGGGTGGTGGGATTGATCAGAATGTCGTAGCAGCAGTGGCAGAGGAACTCACTGACTGATATCTGCCGTCCCAGGCCAGGAGCAACACACGGTTCAACTTTTGCCCTCTCTGTTTCCCCTTGTAAAGTCTCACCTTCTTCCATTTTCCTTTAAGCCTTACACGAACAGAAAGCTCTCTTAGATCTTCAAACCAGATAAGGCACTACTTCTGAAAAGCAACACGAAAACAGCTATTACAGAAGTTTAGAATTGTAAGCAATGTGATTTATCATTGCACTGCTTTTGACACTCGGATGGTTTTAAATTTGTTACGTAACTCAGCCCTCCCCAAAATGAAACATGATCTACTTCTTCAACAATATATTCATTCCCAACTACAATCAAAACCAGACTCTAGATGTAAACAGCTGGGCTCAATCTCCCTATGCTTTCTTCTCCTGTGTTACAAAATACATGAAAGTGAAACAAAATAATTCACTATGATTCACATGACTTTTGACAATAGCTTTAATCAAGGTTTTAGTAAAAGAAATCAGTCAAAGAAAATATACTTAAAAAGTATCATCAGAGGATACAAAAATAAAATACCAGTGTAACATCATGATCTAATTTACTTCATCCCTCTTCTTTCCAAGCACATGGAATAAAACATTATTAACAGAGGTCAATGCTGGATATTGTTGGGCAATGTTAAAAAATATAATAAAAGTTTGATCCACCAAGTCATATGCTTCAGAGTCATAAGGGATTGATCTGCACACCTTTTCAGCAAAGGTCTAAACTCCACATAAACTTTACCTGTAGTTACTTTGTCAGCATTACAGAAAATGCACAGTTAAGAGTTCAAGATGGTTCCAAGTTAACAAAAAATATATTTTATATTCCTACTCCATTCTCTTAGACAGCAGTATATAGTTTCTTAAGAAAAACACTGGTCCACGTCATTCACTCATCACTCATGATATGTTAGAAGATATAAAGAACTAGACAATTTTCTCCTCGGACACTACCAAACCAAAATATGTTTACACTCTCCACCTTGCGGCTCCTGCTTACTACTAACTTACCAATCTGCCCTCCAGATCAAGCACGAAGAAGTAAGCACGCAAGCAAGTAAAGAACAGAAATTACGAAAAAAGCACAAGTCCAAAACCAGAAACCGATAGTGAAATTAGAATCCTTAGACTTCTAAACCTGCATTTCCACGGCACAGCGCAGGCTGTTGGCTTTCTAAAACAGCACTTGTAAGAAGAAAAATAAAGACAAGCTTTTGCACCTAAAAACATTCTTCTATTTTTCCTGAAAGATAGAGGCAAGAGGATTTCTGTGGAAAATACAGGAAAAACATTTCACCGCTCAGTCTGCGCCAAGTTAGAGCCAGCAGCAGCAGCAGCAGATTCCTAGCTCCTGTTTCTTGCCCGCTCCAGCTTCCTGCACTCCGCGCTGCTCCCGTGGGCATAGCACGGCCGGTGCGGGCCCGCGGCGCTTCCCGGCCGGGCCGGCGCGGGGCGGCCCCAGCCCGCCGCCCTGCGGCACCCCGGGCCCGCTCCCCTGCGGCACCCCGGGCCCGCCCCGCCGCTTCCGCCCCGAGAGCGCGGCGGCAGCGCGGCTCCTCCCTCACCGCGGCCGCCGGCCAACACCGCCTTTTTATTTCAAGCGTGTCAAATCACCGGACATGAGCACTGCCACGCTCCCTTTTCTGGGAAGAGACACACTTCTATAATCGTGGGAACTGAGGTACGCTTGCTTACTGTACACTACGCACCCAGGCAGCCTTCCTTCGCAGAAACTATTCAAGGTTGATTTTACAGTAGAGATTCGAGGTGTAATCTTAGAAGTAAATGAGACTTTCAGGTGCTAACGCCTCGTGCACAGACTATTCTTATCACATAAGAGTCCATCTCTCCACACATGCACAATTACTTCTATCAGTCTCCGTTCCCTTACTGAAATTCTTTTCGTCTAGTCCAAAAAAATTTGATTCACTCTCTACAACACCATGGCAGGAGGTTGTAGGCAGGTGAGGATGGGCCTCTTCTCCCAGGGAACAAGTGACAGGACTCAGCTTTACTCTGTACCAGGGCAGCTTTAGGTTGGGCATTAGGAAAGGGTGATCAGACATTGGGCTGCACAGGGAGGTGGTGGAATCACTGTCCCCGGAGGCGTTTAAGGACTGGACATAGCACTGAGTGCCACGGTCTAAATGATACCGTGGTGTTTGGTGACAGGTGGGACTCAGTGATCCCAGAGGTTTTTTCCAACCTAATTGATTCTGTGAATTTTTAAAGTGTACCTCTGAGATGTATTTTTTTCAACTGTTCCACACAGTGACATTTTCTTTTAGGATTTTGTTTCAGTTTAATACAAACTACAAGTCCAGTTCAAATGACATTTCAGTTAATTATTCCAGCCTATTTCAAGAAAGGAAATAGTCTCTCATTGTTTTCTCTTTCATATTATTCAGGTTTTTTTCCAGAGAACCAATGAGTAGATCTTTAAAGTACTCTAGCATGAAAGAATTCAACCTCTTCCAGATCTGAGGAAGTGCATCTAGATCTACTTTGGTATGCAAGGTGAAAATGCAGCCCAGAGTACTTGTTCTAGAATATAGTTTTTTTACTACTTTTTTGTGTCTTTTCACTTAGTTTGACATTCAATGTTCAGTAAAGTAAAAGAGCATACAAGTGTTTGATAGCCTGTGCAGCAGCCTTGAATGATGTGAAAACATGGCCTTTCTGTTCCAATTTATAAAACTTCTGACATATCAAAAGCCATGGAATCTCGAACTAACTGCTTGTATTGCCCTCTCCCACTTTTTAGGTGTTCCTTCTGCTTACGTAGTAATACCTACATGTTGAAGTAAAAAATGTCTAATCTGTAAGACATAGTACTTCAATTCCTATTAAAGTACTTAATTACTTACCTTACTGTTTGACTTGCAGTTTATTTTGTAGGTGTGGGAAACAAAGAGTTCCCAGATTTGTCAGCTACTTGTGGGGAAATGTCAGGCTTCTAAAACAACCATCAACCACTTTAAAGTGCCATGAGCACTTTAACTAGAAAGTGCAGAAATGCATCTTAAAAAACTGAGGAGTAACACGAAGATTTTAGGCTTCAACCAATTTACTGCAAAATAAAAACATCTCTGCCATGTTAACTAACATCTTACTGGGAGCCATTTAATCATACTCGATTTCCTTGGAATGTCTGTTGAATAAACTGCTTATACTGAAGAATCTTTAAAAGCTCTCTCCACTAAATCCTGCATAATTATTTCTCTTTTCTGTATGCAGAAATTACCCCCCACAATTGGTGAGAATTTTTGTTTTCATTCTGCTGGAATTCTGGAAAAGATGCTTTATGAGCCCTGTGCACTCCAGCCCTGCAGCACACCCTCTGAACTCCTCTGCCCGTGCCCACAGCTCCTGCCCTCTGCCCCTGTGCCGCACCTTCTCTCCGGGGCAGCTCCGGCTCGCACAGCGCCGCCGCGGGCCCATCCTGCCGCGCGCTCTCCTCTGCAGCCAGCTGTCAAAATGCCGCTCGGAACAGGAAGAAGCTCCTTCTGTAATACGGCAAGGCCTCCAGTTCCCCTGGAATTATCATCATTAAGGCACCATCGCTAGCAGTTCTCCACCATGCTCCTGGTGTCTCCTAGGCAGAGTCCCATGCCTTCTTCCTTGCTGGTGCTAGTTTCGTATTTCTGCCTTTCAGGGCAAGGTCCACATCCATGACATTTCACCACATCCCCCAGAGCAGCGGTTGGTGTAAGACTTCCTTCCCCCCGCGGCCCTGCCGCAGCCACTGCGGTCCTGCGGCCCGCTCAGAGCACACGGCAGGCTGCCGAAGGCGCCGTTCGAAGCTGGCGGCGCCGAGCCCGCTCAGAGCACACGGCAGGCTGCCGAAGGCGCCGTTCGAAGCTGGCGGCGCCGAGCCCGCTCAGAGCACACGGCAGGCTGCCGAAGGCACCGTTCGAAGCTGGCGGCGCCGAGCCCGCGGGCGGACGGGGCGGTGCGACCCTGAGGGCTCCGCCCCGGTAGGAAATGGCGGCTGCCCGGGCTCACGTGCGCGCTCACGTGCGGCGCGCGGGGCGGCCCCGGAAGCGCTCGGCGGCGGCGGCGGCGGCGGGCGGTGCCGGAGCGAGCTCTGGCGGGCGGGGGCGAGGGATGGAGGTGATCAGGAGCAGTGAGTGACCACCCGGCCCTGCGTCCTGAGCTCTGCGCCTCTGGCGCTAAGCTGTCTCGGTGTCCCGGCGTCCCCGCCCTGGGCTGGCGGCCCCTCCGGCCTCAGCCTCTCCTTCATGGCGAAGGGGTCCCCATTGCCCCGCTCACCCATGAGGCGCAGCCCTGAGAGGGGAGGCGCGGCCCCGAGGCTGAGGGGGCGACGGGCAGGCCCTGCCCGCCCGAGGGGCGCCGGGCTGCCGGAGGATGTCGTTTGTAGTCTCAAGTGTGTTTTAACCCTTTACCCGTAGATTTTAAGGATAATCTAAACAAAGTGTATGAAGCCATTGAAGAGTCGGACTTCCTGGCCATCGATGGAGAGTTTTCAGGTACAGTTGCACCTGTTTTGTCATTGTGAACTGTTGGCAGTCTCTGAGGGGGGGGTTGGTTTGACCTCGGTGCCCGAGTTCGCTCCTGTGATGTATCTCAGGGTTGGCTTGAAAAAGCTAAAGCTGAGGCTACCGCAGAGTCGTCAAACCACTTGTTACGTGTGCGATAGCAAGGCTTTGGTTAAAGATACATGTCATGTGAATGCTGCTTGTGCTCCCACAATAATCTTTCTACGTGACAACTGATAATTGTTGCAGTTCAAGGTAAAAAAACCAGAAGGTGTTATATATGCCATGAAAGCTATGGATTGGGATTAAGTGAGGCAGATCCTGCAAGTGTTTGGACAAGGAAAGGCAGCGCTAAGAACCTGTGTGCTTGTGAAACCCTGAGGGTATGTGCAGCAGAGAGATGCTTTAGTAGGTACTTCACTTTTGGGATGTAGAGTTCGGTTCACCTGTGAGACTAGGTTTTGTTACGTGTGGTGTTTGTGGAAGCACAGTTGTTGCGTATTGCTTAAGGTGACCAAGTTATTCAATCAATCTCTGGGCAACACTTCCCATTTTTAGTTTTTCTTTGATCCTGCATTGTGTTGTAAAGCCCATTTACATTAGAGTACTGGTAGGTCTTGGCCTGCTACTGACATGTTGAATAGGAGCCAGAATGACAAGAGCTTTTGCAGAACAATTTTACTTCTAGAACCCCCTTATTAAAATGAGTGGCTTATTGCAGTAGTATTTTTCTCAAATTAAATAATTGTAATGCATACTTTAAGTGAAAGCCTTTTTCTCAAATTGCCGGTTCTTTGCTGTGATTAATTTTGAAAAGCTTACCCGAAGCAAAATATGTTCTACTTTTTCAGGGATCAGTGATGGGCCTTCAGTTAGTGCATTAACAAATGGCTTTGACACTCCAGAAGAAAGGTATCAGAAACTTAAAAAGGTAAAGTGTTTACATGGACCAAAATGAAAACTGAAGCTGCTTTTGGTGCAGCATCTTGTTTGTGTGACCAACAGGAGGAAAGAGAGATGGAACTTCCCTCAGTTCTTGTCTCTTTGTGGAATGGAAGCGCATACTAAAGTCATCTTGGGCCAAGAGTAAGATGATTAAATGGGGATGAAGACTAGCAGAAAAACTCTGGTGTGTTTACTTTCAAATTACCAGGGAAACAAACATTGGTTAAGAAGATTCACTTTGCTTAATTTTGAAATGGAGAGAAATCATATGTGGCTGCAACCTGGTAATCTTTAAATGTGTGCAACCTGGTAATCTTTAAATGTGTGCATGTTTTATTCTCATGCAAAATTTTCCTTTCTTTTACAGCATTCCATGGATTTTTTGCTCTTTCAGTTTGGCCTTTGCACTTTTAAATATGATGACACAGAAGAAAAGTACGTTATTCTCTTATTTCTTGTTTTCTTAACTGAGGATTTTCTAAGTAATACTGATAAGGTGTATTGACATGTAACTCATCTTTTCTACAGGTATATAATGAAGTCATTTAATTTCTATATTTTTCCGAAACCCTTTAACAGAAATTCACCAGATGTCAAGTTTGTCTGTCAGGTTAGTAGAAGAACAGTTTAATTTTATTTGGTTAAGGTATGCCTGAAACAAACTTGAGCTTAAAAGGTAGAAAAATGTAAGTTTCTGGGTTGGGGTTTGTTTCTTATAGAATAAGTAAGCATCAGTTAAGAGCAATCCCAAAAATGGGAACTGTAAGGGAATATGCTTGACTTCAGTTTTTAATTCTTGTTATGCATTACATTGTGTGATTTCTGGAATTTGAAATAATGTTCCAAACTTGGCAAGATGATTCTGGTTTTTTCCCCTCTTCTCATTGAACTTCCAGTTTCCTTGCTTTTTTAATCCTTTATTCTCATCTGCTTATCCTACTTTCACTGCTTCCTAGGCTATTGCCAACATTTTTCGGGTCTCAGATTTGTTGTCCTGAATTACATTTTGCTTTCTTTAGTTTCCTCTCTCCACATAGTTTGTTCTTTCATCTTTATCCTTTACCATATTCATCGTTCTTGTACCTTATGGAAGTTGAAAATCAATAAGAAAAGTAGCAGAGCCTAAACTCTCAGTGGCTTCTTTAGGGTCACAGACTTGGTTGTTCTTGGCTTTCCACTTTGTATAATTTCTTAACAAGTGTGAAAATGACTGAACTGATGCCACAGCTACTTTTGCCAACTGTAAAGCCTTTTTCTCTTGTTGCAGAGTTCAAGTATAGATTTTTTAGCAAACCAAGGATTTGATTTTAATAAAGTTTTTCGCAACGGTGAGTTGTTTTGGTTTGTTTTCAATTTCTTTTAATGTCTGCAAAATTTGTGATGACACCTTTCATTGTTTTCTGCAAAAGAAAAAAGGCTGCCATCTGTGATACTGTCTTAACATGTAATGAAGTTCTTGAATTATTCTTGTCTAGTCTGCTGTTGTGCTGATGATAACTCACTCCCTTTCCAAGAATTCATTGCGTAGTTCAGCAGAACAGAATTCCTACTGACATGAGAGCTTGGTTGGTTTTTTTTGTATGGAGGCAAAGCGTGAATGAGTAACAAGGTGTGGAGCTGTGTAATACATCAGCAGGAAGGCCTAGGAAAGGGATCCCAGTGCACTGTGATTGGGGCTGCTGCCCTCTGTTCTTGGTGATGCACAGAGCAAGGAGAGCAGTGCTCAGGACTTCAGTGGTGGTGATCTGCAGTGCTGGGGCTCTGTAGAGCAGTGGTACCAGCTAACCTGGCACGTGCTGGGAGGCTGGACAGACACACATCTACAGCAGGTCACTGAAAGGGAAGGGTTTGCTTCCAGCCTGCAGGTGTAACAGAGGCAATGCTTGAACCCCCATGCATCCCTAATTAGTCTCTAATTATGATGAGCTTTTACTTTCTTTGTTAGGAATTCCATATTTAAATCAGGAAGAAGAGAGACAGCTAAGGGAACAGTATGATGAAAAACGTTCTCAAGCCAATGGTGCAGGATCTCTGTCATACATTTCTCCTAATTCCACAAAGTGCCCTGTAACAATTCCTGAAGACCAGAAAAAATTTGTAGAGAAAATAGTGTAAGTAACACTGTTTAATATCCTCTGATGTTGTTAAAACCAAAATGTGAACAGAAGTGATATTTTCACACGTTGAAGCCATGTCTATTATTTCACTGTTTGTAAAATGCTGCTCTTTTTGTTATGAAGCATTTTCTTGTCTTTTGGAGAGAGCTGTAAACTTCCAAAAAATAAAATAGTAGATACAGAAGCAAATAATCTGTTTCTTCTAGGGATCAGATAGAAGACTTATTAAAGAATGAAGAAAGTGAAAGTTTGGAACTGGAGCCATGTACAGGGTCAGTTTCTGAAATTGCATTTCTTCTAAAAATTTTTTTTAGTTTGATCATATAGAATTAGGGGAGTGACAGGGAAGAATATGTTTACTTGGGTTAACTGTAGCAAAATCTTCATTTGACTAATTTTTGAATGTTGAGAATACATGGTAATGTATGCGGGTGTTGTAATTTATTTTGAGCTGTAACTTCTTCTTTTGAGCTGCGTGTAGTGGCAAAATATTTAAGTATAGTCAATAAATGTTTTGTATGTGTGAGCTGCCTTTTCTTACTGCTGAAGTGATCCATAGGCCTTGGAGATGCATTTTTTAAAGAAACTTTGCCAATCTATTGAGCTATTGGTTGTTCACAGTTGGCAGTGTGTGACTGTTTTTAGTAGGTTTCCTTCCCAAAATTCTATTTAGCTTTGGAAACTAGATATTTGGAGAGTATGATTATTTAATTTTTTTTTAAAAAACTAATTTAGTAGAAAATGGTGAAGCTGGCGATAAGGCACCATCACTGTGTCTTTATTGAGTCATCATGACTGCAGAATACTCTCTGATGAGAAGATAATGTGGGTAACTTTAAAACATAGTGTAAATGCCTTTCCAGTTTGGCAGCTGAACATCAGAATTCAGTAAATCTCTTCCTAGCCAATAGTTCTGCTAGCAGTGACTCTTGCTTTAAAAATCTTTCTACGAATGAACACTTAGAGTCAGCTTAAACTGGAAATCATTCCTAGGAGGTACTCTGTAAAAGGATTATTAGTAACACGATTGTCTTTTGGTTTTAGATTTCAAAGGAAATTAATTTATCAGACCTTGAGCTGGAAGTAAGTTACTGGTAATACTGCCTTACTGTATATTTTTAGTGTTTTTGATAAGAAATCTGGGTAAGATATATCTACTTAACCGTGACGTGATTGATCTAGAATTTATTTTTCCCTTTAAAAGAAGACTTCTGTAATGTTCTGAAGATGAATTACATTAAACTTATTTGTGATGATTAATTTAGATATTAAAGCTTAGTGTTTGTTTTATCCTATGTAAAATCTC